ATGTTCCTGGCTTAACAAACCATAGTTTTTGTGTGCCAGGAACATGTGTCAGGTCCACTGTGCTACCTTTGCTCTACCCCCATACACCAGATTCTTTCCATTTCTGCGCGTAAATCATCATAAGGCATTGTTGCATACATAATAAACTTTTTTTCCTGACATTTGGGTATTGCTTGACCTATTATTCCCAAAAGTAAAGCTTTTTAAAATAAAAGATGCCTTAGACATTTCCCCCAGTTCATTATACATTTCCCAAAAAGCTTTCACGATCTGACATAACCACCACATATAGTAAAAGGTATCCTCTTTTTCCTTAGACTTCCAGCACGTATCCATGCACCAGACTGAATCTGATCTACTATTCCATTAAATCATAACCTGAATTGTACTTCAATGTTGGTTGATTCGTCAGGATCTGAAACCACAGTTTGATTGTGGCTCCTGATCCTGTCTGATAGAAAACGTGAAATTAAACTAGTTTTCTGTTTTAGGCATAATAATGGGGAACTACTTTAAAGAGACCAGAATCAAAGTACAGAAGCTGGCTTGCACGGGGAAGAAGCTAGGAGATCGGGATTGGGGAAGCACACAGGACCATTCATTCCCAACTAAGCCAAGTATTTTGTGTTCAATTTAGCCTAGAAACTCAAAACACACGGAGAAAAATATGCAGATCTCACTTACGGAAATTGTAGAAATAAGGCCAATTTGATTTAAAACAGCCCCGAATACGTACATTGGCTAAGTACTAAGTCCTTTCAACAGGGTGCCCTTCCTTAGCTTCATTTCTAATTACTCATTATTATTATTATTTTTACAATTAACAAAGACCTTTAAATCAAAGTAGAAGCTGGACAAAGTATATGTGGGGAAAGCAGTACAATGAAGTAGTTTTGCCCCCATTTCCAAGAACCTAGTCCCCAAGTACCATCAAATGTTGAAACAATGCAGATGAAAAGATTTGTATCATGCTAATTTCTGTCAAAATTGACAATGGACAACAGATGGCCCGACCGGTAAGCCTAGACAGCTATTATCTCTAGACTAGGGTAAATGTAGCTAAAATGGTGGCAAAAAGAATTGTGGCTAGGGAAGAAAACAGGGAGGGAAGAGCATCTGTTCCACATGTTCACATATATATTTTAATGCTATAGTCCTTTAGGAGCACACAGAAATGTGGCCTATGGTTTCCAACTATGGTCTGCAGAAAAAACATGCTTCACCTGGACTGGATGCAGTGGGGGAAGCTATGCTTACAGCAAACCAGGACGTCAGCGGGGGGGTGGGGGGGTGGAATCAGAGTACATGAAAGAAGGATGGAGAGGGAGCACGGAAGCCCCAGGCTAAGGTCTAAACCATCATCACTGAAACACATTGTAGTTTACAGTAGTTTCGCACAACGTGGAGCTTGCATGCAGTCGGCCTGCTGCCTCCCCCTCAGCTGTAGAGTGGCATCCTTAGGAGGCAGCAGGCAGGTGCAAACTGCACACTGCCCTTTCAGACAGCGCGGAGCCTGCAGAGACCCAAGCCACCACGTCACTCCCAGGAGACATGTGGCTCGGGTTCACTGCAGGCCCAAGTGCCCACTGCCCCCTAGCTATGCCTCTGATAAGGCGCACCTTTAAAAGTGTGCATAACACTTAAGCAGCCAGTGCATGTGGCTACACTGTAAATGAAAACATTTCATTTACTTATTTAAGGGATTTCTTCCATACCTTTTTATTTGCCCAGGCCTACCAGCTCTGCCTTGCTTTTTGGGTTTTATTGGTTTTAACACCTTATTTGTATGTTATTTATAACAGTGTTCCAAATTACTGGTGCCATAATGTGAAAAACCTTGGTTTGCACAGAAACTGAATGAATATGAGTTAGCTGTGGGACAGTTAGGATGATTCAGCCACATGACGGTAGTGCTCTGGTAGGTGTATAATGCATTATAGGCCATTAGAACTTTATACACTAATATCTTGAACTTTGTAAATGTCCCGGAAGCCAGTGTAGAGCTTTTAGCATCTGTGCAATACGCTAATGTGGACCACAGCATTCTACATTAGCTGAAATTTCCAAACCACCCCAAATGTAGCCTCACACTGAGCGCATTCCAATAGTACAGTGTAGAGGTTACCAAAGCCTCCATCACTAAGACCAAGCTATCCCTGTCAAGGAACAGGTGTAGATAGTATATGTGCCAGAAAAAGCACTGACAATGATGGATTTAAGAGTACTCCCAAGGAAGAGTGCAAACCTATCAAGAATAGGCAACCTGCGAATTTCTCAAACTTAGGAACCGCTTATCCATAAAGCTTCCATCTTAACAAGATTCAGCTTCAGATTACTGGCCCTCATCCAGCTCATCACTGACTCGAGCCATGTTGGTACAGAACTTGCATCGTCTCAATTGATTTCAGATGTGGCAGTGTAGAGCTGAGTGTCTTCAGTATACAGTATATGAAAAGAGGCATCTAAACATTTTTTAATAACAACAACCACAACATACACCTCAACACAAGGTTTCCAAAATGCTGCTAGGGCAGGGAAGAAGGGACAATATTGTTGCTTATCATTGTAGGTGTCCCTGTACAACTCTATTCAACAGAGCAACCACAACAGAAACAAATGCTAGGAGAATAACTATTTTGTGAGTGGCTAGGAAATGCTCTCTCTGTCTTTCTGCAAAGTGAAGACTTTGAGGAAGTATTTAAGACTGGGAAACAACTGTACACATAATAAGAGCAAGAGCAAGCCAATGGCCCATCTAGTCCAACGTTCTGTTTTCACAGTGGCCACCCAGAAACCTGTGAGAAACTCGCAAGCAGGATATGAGCACAGGAGCACTCTCTCCTCTGTGGCCTCCAGCAACTGGTATTAGGAAACATTATAGCATCCAGTGACTTAATGCACAGTCAACCTTGTTGAAAGACCCCACATCAACGTAAAACTGCAGTTCACTGACTACTAGTAAGATGTGGTGCTTTTTCAGATATTTCGGAAGATCACAATAAAAATAATGGGCTTGTGCGTCTTATTCATAACTATATGTTCCGTTTCACTGACCCCATTTTCAGGACCAACAAGAGTCAGTTAAGAATAGTCAAGTCTTTATTTAAATGTCTAAACAGTATGTCTAAACTACAGAAAGGATAGAGTTTAAATTGATAAGTCTTTCAAGCAGTCTCCCAGATAGCATCCATAACATGAGGCAATGTAGCAGTTCCCAAACAAGCAAGTCTGAACAGTGGCCTGACCAGTTTACTGGGAGTAAATTCCATTGAGCTCAATGGGGCTTACTTTTGAGTCAGCAGGTATAGGATTGGACTGTTATTGTTACCACTCGAGTATATACAAAAGGTACGTGTTGGGTTAACCTAATCCATAATCCTCCAAATATTAAGCATGAACGTTTCAGAAATGAGTCAGAGTTTCAACTCTCATCTACAAAACAGTCTATTCCAATAGAACAATTGTTTGTGAAATAAAGATTTTTAAAAAAAAATGAAAAAAGAGAAATCTGATGTGATCTCTAGATTAGTTGTAGAGATTGGGTAATTATTACTACCAGATTTATCCTAGATTAGTTACGGTAATCTAATTTGTTTTGGACTGTGCTCCTTTCTTCTTCCCCTTAAGGAGGTGAAATAACATGTTTTTAAAATTGTATTATGACAACACCCTTTATATGACACACCCTTAGCTACCACATTGATGTTATTCCACACCAGTGCCCACACTTACACAGTTCAACAGAACTCTAAGGAGTTGATCTAATCTGACCTGACATAATTAGCATGCTAGCAATAGCTGTGTTTTTTGTTTATTTACAGTAGCCTACCAGTCCAGGATACAGATGGCAATGGGAGCTACTTATGCAGTATTCTGGTTGCTGATCATAAGGGTGCCTATATGTTTTCCTCCATATGGTAAGAAGAAGCTTGGGAAGGGAGTGACAGCTGGAGAACAACACGCAGGGAGAAGGGTACAAAACAACAAATCTTTCCCAGCATCATGGCTCTCTTACCCAGAAGAGCCTGATCCATCAGATAACTTAGAGCCTCACTCTGGTGTTGTGTTTTGCTGTCAGATTTTCTCTCTCTAATATGATTCCCTTGAGAGCAGAATCCATTAACACAAAATGTTATGGGTGCATTCAGTTTATTTACACGTGTGAACCAAACCATCCACCTACACACAGCACATACAACACTTTGCAATGGAGCCAGTCCACACGTTCAACAGTCAGTGGTCTAATGGTGACGTATAGCGACGTGGCATCAAGCGGCTATAAGAGTAGGGGCCCTAAATGTTTCCTGGGTTGGATGGGTAAACAGGTCCCTTATGGTACTGCTGAATCTTAGCCATACGAAGCTAAATGCATTGAACGGGATCTGTTACGTGGGCCCCAATGTATGCATGCACGTTGCCTGAGGGCCTTTCTCGGTCCCTTCCTCATACACCCAAGAGATCACGAACAAAGCAGCATTGTCCCTACGCATGGAAGGGCGAGGAGCAGAGGCTTGTGCCACGACTTCAGAGAGGCAAACGGACCGAGGTGCCGCGCGATGCACGAGACAATGCCAGAGAAGCAGGAAAGCATGCGAAGAAGACCCCGCGCAGCCTATATGCAACCCTTCCTCCGGGGAGCCAGGCGGCAGCAGAAACGAATACAACCGCGCGGGCGACACGTGCCCCCAGGACAGGCGCCGGAGCCGGAGCCGGCCTCCGCTCTTACGAAGGGGAGCTCAGCGGCGCGTCGGCCCCGGAGCGCATCTTCTGCGCGTGCTGCAGCCGACCAGGCTCCTCCTGAGCCCCTCCATTTTCTGACTCCGAGGCTCCAGACACGCGCGCCTCCTTTCCCTCACGCCGGCAACATACGCCGTTCATTCTCCCTTCCACCCACAGCTGACGCTTCCGCACACAAACACACACACGCGCGCCACAGCCCAGTCATAATAATCAGCCTCCCGGAGCAGCTGCTGCGGCGCCTGCCCGCCGCCCCTCCCTACCTCGCTGACGATGGTGGAGAGGTAGGGCTCTCGGCTGTACTCCCAGCCGTCCAGGCACTTCTCCTGCTCCACCTGGCTGAGGTTGACGTCCCGCCCGGGCACCAGGTTGCGGGCGGAGAAGTTGGCCAGGGCCTCCAGGCTGTAGCGGCGGCAGCGCTGCGGGACCTGCCGCCCGCCGCGCTCCTCCAGCGGGATGCTGGCGTTGAGCCACTCGCGGCTCAGGTTGGCGCTGGCCGGCACCCGGCACCGGTGCTCGGGGGTGCCGGCCAGGAAGACGGCGGACATGCCGTTGAAGCCGTTGGGGATGATGCTGGCGCTGAGCAGGAAGAAGATGAGGCGCTGGAAGGGGCCCCACTCGCCCAGGAAGGCGATGATGTCGTCGTAATCTCGCATGGCGGCGGCGGCGGCGGGAGGCTGAGGGAGACGCAGCAGCGGAGCGCACACCGCCGAGTGGGTATGAGGCAGCGGCAGCCGCGCTGCGCTCTCTTGACTGGCTCTGTCATCTCTCCGGAGGTGGGGTCTTCCCCCGGCGGACTCCGCCTTTCCCGCGCACACCCCCTTCGCCTGGGCGACCGGCGCTAACCGGTCCTGACCGAGATAACCTTCGCTGGGGCTGCGAGCGGGTTCCCGCTGCTGGAGGGAGGCGCCGGCGCCGAGCCCGCCCCAAGGCGTTCCGCCTGCCTCGCGGCGCCCGGGCCTTTGGGCGGGAAAAGCAATCTGGAGGAGGCTGCCACCCAGGGGGGCGCGGGGTGGACTGAGGCAGAGAGCGCAGCACGAGAACTAAGGCCCTGGTTTTCGCTGCCCAGTGGGCTGCCGGTCGCGCTGTTTCCAGAAGCAAAAATAACTTCTGTGAGGAATTTATTAAGAGAAAGGTGGCCAAGCACCGTGCAAAGAACTTTAAAACACTTCCTTGAAAGGGGTGTCGCTCTAAAGATGCTAATCTAATGTTCATTTTCAAAAATTACGGCACCTCACCTTCTATAACAGGGCATAGCTCTCAACCTTCTCTTTTTTTGCGGGAAATTCCCTTATACCAGCGCTGCTTCCCGCTGCTATCCCGGATTGTTAGATATTCTGTAGACTGTCCCCAGGACAGGTGAGGCTGCTGATCCCTTATTTTCGAGGCTGCTGATCTCCTATTTTCAAATCTGAAAGTTGACAGCTATGTAACAGGGTGGTGGGTTTTTTTAATGACCCAAGGATAAAGTACTCTTGAGTATCTGCAGGGTGCATTTCTTGTGTGAACCTTATTTTCTTTGTCCTGAATATGTCCAGCAAAGGGATGACCACTTGGAGGCGCGCAGAGAGAAGAAACGCCAATAGCGAAACTGGACGCCTTCATCTGGCCCAGCTGCAATGAAACATGTCTCTCCTGTATTGGTCTCTACAGCCACAGCAAGCACTGCAACCTTCCAACAGTTTGACTTCCCCCTCAAAGGCGCATTCCTCCATTGTCTCCCAAGACAGATGGATGCCAACTGAACAGGCAGGCCTTTTGTTTATTTATTATTACAGGTATATTTCACCTTTCCTCCAGTAAGCTCAAAGTGGCCTATATCTCCCATTTTGTACTCGCAACACATACACTCAGGCTAAAAAGCAGTGGCCAGCTCAAGGGAGCTTCATGGTTATTATTTTTTTTTTTTAAAATGTGATTTTTATTGATTTGCAAATAAAAAGATACAAAACATAAAGATTACTTCTCATATTCACATATTATATGATACAACTTCCTTCAACCTTTCCATAAATCATCCGTGATATTCTTGTAAAGCTTCGCATTTCTTGGGTTGTATTGTCATTAACCGCCCTAGATCTTCTCTTTCTCTCTGACAGTACCCTTTTTTTCCCTTTTACAGAGCTCTTTTAAAACCCACTAGCGTTATCTGTCCTTCACTCAATTTTTCCAGATAATTCGTAAAATTTTCCCACTCCTCAATGAACCTCTGATCTTTAGAATATCTTATTTTCCCTGTCATCTTATCCATCTCCGCGTAGTCTAACAGTTTTGCTCTCCATTCTTCAATTGTCGGCAAGTTCTCAGATTTCCAATTTTGAGCTATTAGGATTCTTGCAGCTGATGTTGCATATTGAAAGAACCTGTGATCTTTCTTTCTTATCTCCCTCCCTATCATTCCCAACAGGAACGCCTCAGGTTTCTTGACAAAAGTGTATCTTAAAATTTTTTTCAATTCGTTGTATACCCCCTCCCAGAACTCTTTAACTTTTTGGCACTCCCACCACATGTGGTAGAAGGACCCTTCCCTTTCTCTGCACTTCCAACATTTATTACAAATCCCATACATTTTAGCTAATTTCACAGGGGTTAAATACCAACGATAAAACATTTTCATTAAGTTCTCTTTCAGTGTCACACAGGCTGTAAACTTAAGGTGTATTTTCCAGAGTTTCTCCCACTCTTCAGCATATATGTTATGACCAATGTCTCTCGCCCAATGAATCGCTACTGACTTTACTTCTTCATCTATTAGATTCCAGCCTAACAACAGATTATACATTTTAGATAAGATTCTATAATTGTTGTTCAATATTTCGTTCTGGAATCTAGAGTCTTTGTCGGCATATCCTTTGTCCGTAATATCTTTTCTAAGCATTCCGTTTAGCTGGAAGTAATGCAACCAGTCATGGACTTTCTCCTTAATCTGATCGTACGGCTTTAGTTTCCATTTCCCTTCTTCTTTTATTAACAGTTGCTCATATGTAGGCCAGTTATCTCCCCTATTTTTTTTGCTTACACTCATCGCTTCTAGCGGCGATAGCCAATGGGGTGTTTTAGGTTCCAGCACCTCTCTGTTCCTTTCCCACACCTCGATCAGTGGACCTCTAAAAATATGATTTCCAAAACCCCTGTGTACTTTCCTCTTCCCGTACCCTAAATAGGCGTGCCACCCAAACCTAATATTGAATCCCTCTAAGTCTAGCACCTCCCTATCTTCCAATTTGATCCAAGTTCTGATCCAGCATAGGCAAGCTGCCTCGAAGTATAATTTTAGATCGGGTAGGGCAAAGCCCCCCCTTTCCTTCACGTCTGTCAATAACTTATATTGGATCCTCGGCTTCTTGCCTTGCCAGATAAATTTCGAAATCACTTTCTGCCATTCCTTAAATATCTTTGTACCCCTAATAATAGGAATATTCTGAAAAAGGAATAGCATTTTTGGGAGAACGCTCATCTTAATTATAGCTATTCTGCCCCAGAATGAAGTTTTCAGCCTGCCCCATGATTCTATATCTTTTTTGACCCCTTTCCATACTGTATCATAGTTATTTTTGAAGAGATCTATATTTTTTGGTGTTACCCATATTCCCAAATACTTAACTTTCCCGGTCACCTCTATCCCCGTTGCATTTTGTAGTTCTTCAATTTTATCTGTCTCCATGTTCTTTGCAATGATTTTTGTTTTCTTTTTATTTAATTTGAAACCAGCTACTTTTCCGAACTGTTCAAATTCTTCGAGTACTTCTTTTGTTGAATTTAGTGGGTCCTCCATTGTTATGACCAGGTCATCCGCAAACGCCTTTGTTTTGTATTCATTCTGCCCAACTGTTATCCCTCTTATCCCTCTGTTTCCTCTTATTGAATTTAGTAAAGTTTCTAACACCATAATAAACAACAGTGGGGACAGAGGGCAACCTTGTCTTGTTCCTTTTGCTATTCTTATTTCTGGGGTCTCCACACCATTTATTATCAACTTGGCCTTCTGTTCCGTATAAATTGCCTTTACCCCATTATAAAACTCAGCACCGACCTCCATATACTCCAGTTGTTTCAGCAGGAAATCCCAAATTAAATTGTCGAACGCTTTTTCTGCATCCACAAATAATAGCATACCTTGTTTATCACATCTATCCGATAAATATTCTATAATATTTACCACATTCCTTATATTATCCTTCATATACCTTCCCGGCAGAAAGCCGGCTTGGTCTCTATGAATACTTTCCCTCAGTATGCTTTTCAATCTCTTTGCTAGGATTCCCGCGAAGATCTTATAATCTATGTTTAATAGGGAGATCGGTCTATAATTTTTGGTCTGTAGTAAGTCCGAGTCTTGTTTAGGTATTAAAGTAATTAGAGCCTCCTTCCACGTCTCAGGTAGTTCTCTTTCTCTGAGGATATTATTCATTACTTCTTGCATTGGAGTCAACAAAATTGACTCCATTTCTTTATAATACCTCCCAGTATACCCATCTGGGCCTGGCGCTTTCCCTTTTTTTAGATCCTTTATTATGTCTTTGATTTCATCTATCTCTATTGGGGCACTCAGTTTTCCTTTCTCCTGTAACGTAATCTTTTGGATGCTCTTCCCTTTTAGGTATTCTTCTATTTTTCTTAGATTATTATTTTCGTTGTTTTTATAGAGATCTTTATAAAAGTCCAGAAAGGCCTTTCTTATTTCTTTGGGGTTGCTTTTCACTTCTCCCTCCACCACAATCTTATTTATTGTATTCTGTTCTTTCCTTTTTTTTAGTTGCCAGGCTAGAATCTTTCCTGATTTATTAGCATGTTCGAAGGTTTTTTGTCTTAATTTTTTAACCTTCCATTCTATTTCTCTATTTATCATCAATGCCAGTTGCGACTGTAGGATCTTGATATTTTCTTTTATTCTCTTGTTTTTCGGATTTTCAGCTAGTTTTTGTTCGTTATCCCTTATTTGCTGTAAAATTTCTTTTTTCCCTTTTTCTCTTTTTTTATTCTTAATTGCACTTTGTTGGATGAAGAATCCCCTCATCACCGCCTTGCCTGCGTCCCACACCACCTTCATCTTAGTCCCTTTACCTTGATTATCCTCAAAATATTCTTTTAACTTTCTCTTTGCTTTCTCTATGATCTCTTGATCATCTAGCAGGTAATCTTTCATTTTCCATCTGTATAGTCTTTCTTCCAACCCTTTCAATTCCAATTTTACTGCATTATGGTCCGAAATCGTTTTAGGGAGAATCTCAACCTTAGTAGCTCTTGGCACTAATTCTGCCGATACCCATATCTGGTCTAGTCTAGAAAAGGAGTCGTGTGGTTCCGAGTGAAAGGTATACTGTTTTTCTAGGGGGAATTTAAATCTCCATACGTCCACCAAATTAAGATTGTTGACCAGTGAGAAGAATGTCTGGGGTAGTTTTCCTTCCGAACCTTCTCCCTCCCTTAACCTATCAATGTTCAACGACACCACTCCATTCATATCCCCTAATAGTATTATTTTCTGGTCCGCATACTCACTTAATTTCTCTTCTAACATTCTGTAAAACTCTGCTTTATTATTGTTTGGTGCATATATCCCCACTATTATTACATTTTCTCCTTGCCATTTGAGTTGGACTGCTACTATCCTCCCTTCTTCATCTTTATATATTTGTTGTGCTTCCAATTGTTTCCTTATATAGATAATCACCCCCCTTTTCTTCCTTTTATCTGACGATACAAATTCGTTTCCCAATCTTTTATTAATCAGAATTCTTTTGTGTTTCCTTGCTATGTGGGTCTCTTGTAAACATATGATGTCTAAGCTTTCTTTCTTTAAAATATGCTCAATTTTATTCCTTTTTTTCTTGTCGTTCATCCCGTTGATGTTCCAGCTCCAAATTTTTAGTGCCATTTTGTTTGCCTATATAGATATCTACCGTCCCTCTTATATTTTACCTTCTCCTCCTTCTTCCTCTTCCTCTCCCCCTGACCTCTCTGTTTCTTCTTCTGAGTCTGCCTTTCTTTCTATCTCCTCACTTTTATCTTCCTCTTTATCAACTCTCAATTCCTTATACTTCCTTAAGAATTTGCTAGTCTCTTCTGGGCTCGTTAATTTTTGCCTCTTGCTTTTATAGATAAATGAGATTCCTTCGGGGAATTCCCATTTGAATTCAATGTTAAGCCTCTTCAGAGCCTGTACTAGTTCTTTGTATGAGTCTCTGCGTTTGAGCAGCCTGACTGGAATGTCTTTGAAAATTATGATGTAGTTTCCGCCAATATTCAACCTTTTTTCCTTATTTTTTTGGAGGATCATATTCCTCATTTCCCTTTCTTTAAATACAACTAAGCAGTCGCCTACAAATCTCTTATTCTTGGCTGATTTAGTTTTCAATCTAAAAGCCGATTGTATTGCATTTGCCATCTCTTCTATTGGGATCTCCAACCATGTAGCTAGTTCTGTTGTTAATTTCACTTTTATATTTTCACCTTGGGTTTCTGGCACTGCTCTTAACCTTAGATTAACTTCTTTCTGTCTTAGTTCATTCATAGCTATCAAATCTTTCATTTCCTCTTGATTCTTATTCAGATCTAGAATATCGGCTTTTATCCTATCTTCCTCTCGTCTTACATCTTTCATTTCTAACCTCGTCTTTTTCAGGCCCTCTTCCACCGCTTGCGTCCTCCTGAATACCTCCTTCAGCTGACCTTTCAGTTCATTAACTGTTTCGTCTATCTTTTTGTCCATCTTACCAATTCTATTATCTACTTGTTCTAGTTTAAGTTCAAGATTTTTCTCACTTTGTCTGATCTCCGCAAACATTCTTAGAATGTCTGCTTTGAAATCAGTTTCTTGTTTCGATCCCTTCCTATCCCCTGGTGTTCCACCTTCTGGTCTTTTCCCCGTGTTAGACATTGTAAGATGTCAAGCAATGCCAAATATTAAACAGATATTGGGAAACAGTACAGGTATCAGTACACAATAAATGAAAATAAAGGAGCTTACAACCGCACGCAATAGATGTGCGTTACTAATACACCCCAAATACAATAAGTCCGGAGTCCGCAATGCCAAGTGGCAAAGATCCTAATTCTTAGTGGCCGTTGCACCGTTAGACCCGTTGGGCAGTGTCCATTTATCCTTTGTGACTCCCCCTGGTGTATTCAGATTGTTCAGATTATTAGATTGACCTTAGACTAACCTAGAAGTAGTTTTGCAATGTCCTCTTTTTTATATGGGGGGAGACAAGCTCTTATATTTCAATACTCTCTTGAATATATAGAATATATAGAATAGACCTAGAAGAGATCATAGGAGATCATCGGAGTTACAGTTTTGTAAGAAGTCTCATACCTTATCAAATCCTGTGGATTACGTTTTAGAGGAGCCAGAAGCACTTATGAAACCCCTAAACTGATCCAGGGGGGGAACAAGGACATAGCAACAAAAATTTGCCAGTAGCTAACCAAAAGAAGTTCTAAGTTGTAATATAGTGCTCTGTCCACCAGGTGGCTCTCTCTGATATTGCGCTGCTGTTCTTTACAGAAGTCTCTCTGACCTTAAAGGCGGTCTAGGCGACGACCTGGAGGGTCCGTCTGCAGCGGAGAGAGTCTATTTTTCAAATCAAAAAAGTGAGGAGGGGTGGGGAATCCACACCCAGTTGTTACTAAGTCCCGAAAGTCCACAAGGGAGCGGGTATGTGGGGGAGCCAAGGGAAGCTGCGTGGCGTCCGAGGTCGTGCTGTGAAGGTACGTAGTTTCTGTGTAAAATGGCCGCTGCAACGCTTCCGTTTCTCCTGGCAGCGTCAGCTCTTGTCTGCTCTCTAGTAAGTCTCCTCTTCGCTTCCCTCCTCGCTTCCCCCCTTATTACTTTCAGCAGTATTGCTGTTAAGTTTGCTCTTCTGTTCTCTGTTTTAGTCAGAAGCCTGGTGTTTTAACAGTGATATCTTTCAAAGAAACAAAGTATCGCTAGGGGCACTCACTTCTCTTCCGCGCTCTGCTCCTCTATGCGTGTTCGCTGATTTCGAATAAAGGCTGAACTCAGTAGTCAAATTGTCTCCACCGGGTTTCTCTGTTTTCCAAAACTCTAGTCCCCAAACACTGGCTTACTCCCCGGTTCCTTCTATTTTGAGAACGGAGCGCCAGCCCTCGGCGAGAACGGGGCTTTCCGCTACCTGGGAGGGTGTATGGCCGCCGGACCTGCTCCCCGACACCGCCGTGCTCTTCGCCTCTTTTAGAGGTTACCTGACGGCGCGGCAGGTCTCCGCTGGCCCCCTGCACCTCCGGACGTACTCCTGAGGCGTAACGGGGTGTTTTTCGCCCTTCGGCACCCCCTTTTTCCTCCCCTTGTAGGGTGGGATTCGCGCTCTCTACCAAATCCCTTCTCGCTCCGAGGACGCGCTCCGCCGGAAGTCAAGGGAGCTTCATGGTTAAATCAGGATTTGAACCCTGGTCTTCCAGCTCCTAGTTCAACACTCTAACCACTTCACCACATTCACATACAGTCGTACCTCCGTTTACGTATCCCTCTGGTTACGTAAACTTCAGGATGCGAATGCGGCAAACCTGGAAGTATTTTTCCAGGTTTCGTCCCACGCGCATGCGCAGAAGCGCTAAATCGTGTGGATGCGCAGAAGCAGCACCTCCAGTTGCGGATTCCTTGGGACGTGGCCAGACCTCCGGAACGGATCCCGTTCGCAACCGGATGTACCACTGTACTATGAAATGTGGTATCCTTATCCTTAGTAAGATTAGCATGATAGAATGGGACTTCCCTATTTTCATCAGAGAAATGTTGGAGGGTATGGTGCAGCTACCAGTGCCACTGGCAGGTGGCACAGTGGTGGTGAGTGTCCCATGGGTGGTGGTGTGGCAGAGCAGGGTGGCACTTCCTGTTTTGCCTCAAGTGGTGAAATGAAATGTAATACCCCTGACCTCAGGATTCAAGAATTTACACCTGTCAGTTCTGACGGAAGGCAGGCAAGGACCAACAGACCAGGTGGGGCTCGCTAGCTTGGGGTTTCCCTGAGTTTATGACAGATCCTATATCGGTAGTTATTTCTGGACTCATGGAGAGCACAACATGGAATCTGAAAACACTGGTGGTGGCTGGCTTGCCTAAGATGATATTAATATTATTATTTAAATTTGTATACCGCCTATACCCACAGATCTCAGGATGGTTCACAACATAAAAATTATAATATAAAAAACACAAAATACATAAGAAAAACAAAAACAAAGAAAACCCAAAAATCCTCTCTTCCACATCACATTTTAAAAGGGCCTTGGATGTCAATCAGCCCAAGGCCTGGTTAAAGAGGCCTAAGATAAAGGAGTCTTTTCACATATAGACCAACAGAGAATAAAAGAATGAGAACTTTCTTTAACTTCTCTGCCTACTTGTGAACTAATGAGCAAGAGTGCACAAACAAATATTTAAACAAGTTACAGAAGACAGCCTGAAGATGCAAATACATTGGGAATTTGTGAACAGTTCACTGGAATCAGTCCCCTCCAAGAGTATACAGCTAGATCTGCCTTCCCCAGCACTTTCATGTAAAGCAGTGTTTCCCAACCTTTTTTGGGCAAAGGCACACTTCTTTCATGAAAAAAATCTCGAGGCACACCACCATTAGAAAATGTTAAAAAATTTAACTCTGTGCCTATATTGACTATATAAAAAGTACAGTGGTGCCTCGCAAGACGAAATTAATTCGTTCCGCAAGTCTCTTCGTCTTGCGAGTTTTTCGTCTTGCGATGCACGGTTTCCCATAGGAATGCATTGAAAATCAATTAATGCGTTCCTAGGGAAACTGCCTTCAGACCAGGTCCGGGGACAGTCTGTCCCCCAACCTCTTCTGAAGGCTGGGGGGGGGGGGACAAGGGCTTTTCCCACTGCCAGCCTTCAGAAGGCTGTTCTGAAGGCTGGCGGTGGGAAGAAAAGCCCTTCTTCCCACCTCCCGCCCCGCAAGCTCCGGGGACAGGAGGGCTTTGCTGCCGACCGCCAGCATTTTAAAAGCCCCTGCTGTCCCGGGGCGATTTTAAAATGCTGGCGGGCGGGAGCGAAGTCTCCGCTGCCCCGAGGAGATTTTAAAATGCTGGGGGTCGGCAGCGAACGCTTCGCTCCCGCCCGCCAGCATTTTAAGATCGCCCGGGGCAGCGGAGAAGTCTCCGCTGTCCCGGGAAGGCAGGCGGGGGGAGCAAAGACTTTTGCCCCCGCCTGCCTTCAGAAGAGGTCCAGGACCTCGTTCCGATGCCCGGCGGCGGGGTGCGAGGTTCCTGCCCCACCGCCCGGCATCGGGGCATCGTTCCAATGCCGGGCGGCGGGGGGAGAGGTTCCCGCCCCACCGCCCGGCATCGGGGCATCGTTCCGATGCCCGGCGGCGGGGGGAGAGGTTCCCGCCCCACCGCCCGGCATCGGGGCATCGTTCTGATGCCCGGCGGCGGGGTGCGAGGTTCCCACCCCACCGCCCCGCTTCGGAGCAGCGCTGGGGCAGGTGTTCCCGCCCCCCCGCCCCGCTTCGGAGCACCGGGAGAAGCGATCTCCCCGCAGCCCCTTGCTTCAAAAGAGGTCCGGGGGCAGCGGGGAAGAAGCGCTGCGCTTCCCGCTGCCCCCGGACCTCTTTTGAAGCAAGGGGCTGCGGGGAGATCGCTTCTCCCCGCAAAGCCTTGCTTCAAAAGAGGTCCGGGGGCAGCGCGAAGCGCTTCCCGCTGTCCCCGGACCTCTTTTGAAGCAAGGGGCGGTGGGGAGAAGCGATCTCGGGCGCCGCGGCGCGCAGGCGCACTGCTCGCTCCTCTTTCCGCGCAGGCGCCTTCTCTCGCTCTTTCGCCTCCTTTTCTTTCTCTCTCGATGGTCCGCCTACAAAGGAGCGAGGGAGGCGCCCGCCATGTTTGGATTTGCATCCAGCAGGAGATGCCGCCGCCGCCCCGCCTCTCCCGCCTCCCTCCCACGGCACACCAGGCAAGGTCTCACGGCACACCAGTGTGCCGCGGAACACCGGTTGGGAAACACTGATGTAAAGGCTAAGAATAATGTATTAATGTTTTCCTTTTTATTTATCATCAAGCAAGCACTACTATAGCTGTTCTTTGCACTGACTGTTTTTGATGCCCATAATTCCCATACAATGCTGGGACCTCACAGCGATAAATGGATCCCAAGACTGAAGTGTTATGGTAGGCTATGACATTATAAAGTGTGCTGTCCTTCTGCACACATGTTTGCCTGGGGCACAAATGTATGACATATTATTCTCCCAAGGACCAAGATGATTATCTTAAAGCAAGACATCACAGGTAAAGTAATTATCTCAAAGAAAGACATTTGGTTTAGAAGAGCATAACCTTAGAATCAGGTTTGCCGTTTGAAGGTGATTCTGGAACCAGCCATGCTCCTGAGTGATCATGCAGTAGTGGAGTGCCCTCTTTGCTAGTTCCAGTTGGTTCCCTTTTTGTGAAAATCCTGGCCTAACTTCATTCATTCTCCTGTTCTAGTCACTTCCAGGTTGCATTATTGCAATACATCTGGGGATGTTTAGGAAGACAGTTAAGAAAATTAAATGGGTTCAGACTGCCACCACCATAATATTAAGTGAAGCCGGAAGGTCACAATTATAACTCTCCTAAAAAAGAGAGAGAGAATTATAACATCTGCTCTGGTTTTCAGACTTAACTTAAGGTGCTGTTTTTTATCTTTATGGCACAGGAATAATCTCTGCCCATATTAAACTGCCTCCTCATTTAAGCCACATTGCTCTTGAATCATGTCACCAAAATAGATTATTTCCGAATACCACACTGGGTCTTGTATTCCCAGTTGTTCCTCCCTTAATCTTGTAGTTTTATGTTACTTTGTGCCAAAGTCCAACCCCCTGCAATGCAGGAATCTTTTTGCCCAATGTGGGGCTCGAACCCATGACCTTGAAATTATGAGTCTCATGCTCTTAATAACTGAGCAATCCCACTGGCTATATACCAGATAAAATGGGTCAGGCAGCCATGAAATATTCTTACTATTGAGTATATTTATTATTATTTATTAAAATTTAAGACCTCACTCTACACCTTTGTTTAAAATACAGTTGTTTTAATAAAAATAAGACTTTGGCCTAGATTCAGCTAACTCTGCATTTTAGCAGAGGTCAGTCCAAGGGCTCCTGCTAATGCAACAGGGCTTTTCTTCTCCTCCTCCTGTCCACGCATTTCCCCAAATTCACCTGGGAGAGTCAGGAGAACCCTCAGCACAGCATGCAGGGGAGGAGAGAGGAGGTTGTTCCTCTTGGCAAACAGAACTGCTTGCGCCAAATGATTAGAAGACGGTGATGCTGAATTTCTCCCATTACCTTTAACTTTTATCTGCCTTTTCCTGGGTCTTTCACCTATCAGCTGACTTACATCAAGCAATTATAGGCTTGCGTTGGGAGATAGGGTTATTGCTGTCCCAGCCCCTGTAACCTTTGCTGGAAATGCTGTGTAATAGAGAAGGAATGGAACTCTCTGAACTAAAGATAACAAGATTTTTCTTTCTTTCTTTAAAGGCCAGGCCAGCAATTCTTTCTTTCCTCTGGCAAGAAACTGCTCTTGTTAATGAGTGGGTATGTATGTAATGGTCTTCAGAAGTCCTGTTGTGTGTGTGCTTGCCAAGAGCAAAAGGAGAGATGAGGGTTCAAGCAGACAGAAGCTTTTGCTGCCTCACTTGTAAGGATGGCCAGGATTCCAGCAAGCAGGGAGGAGGTGCAAATGTTAACAGGAACCACACTTTTGAGATTGTAACATGTCAAGCAAGTTAATGCACTCTATACAATATCCTATAATTTCTACAGGTAGCATATACAAGAAGTTGAACACAACTTGTTTAAACACATAACAGTATATTTCTTGGAGAAAGGTCATAGTACACTAAGGTACTTGTGTAGACTCACTGGCCTTCCATTTTCACTTACAAAAAAGTGAATTTAAGCAAGGTTTTCCAGACCTTGCTTTAATTATGAAAATGGAGGCCAGTAGGTCTACATAAGTACCTTAGTGGGCTATGGCCTTTCTCCAAGAAATATACTGTTACGTGCTTTTGGATCTAATATGCATTCTGCTGTTTCTGAACAGCTGGATTTGGCAGATGGTCTTAGATGAGTGACTTCACTTAATTACAAAGAGAGGACAAAATCCTCGGGACAGCAGTCTGCTTACAAATGAAGACCAAAGATTTTAAGCTCTACTAGACAGCTTGCCTTTCTGTGTACATACTGTATATATTTACTGTGGTACCTCTGGATGCAAACGGTATCCGTTCCGGAGCCTCGTTCGCATTCTGAAGCAAACACAACCCATGTTTGCGCGGGTCGTGATTCACTGCTTCTTCGCATGTGTGTGACGTCATTTTGAGCGTCTGCATGCGCGAGTGGCGAAACCCAGAAATAACACATTCTGTTACTTCCGGGTTGCTGCGGAGTGCAACCTGAAAACACTCAACCTGTAGCTACTTCAACCTGAGGTATGACTGTATTCAATGAAAGTAGAATGATTCTAGAGAGAGAGAGTATAAGGTGTGTTATAGGAATTCTAAGGTCTCAGATATAGAATAAATGTTGATAATTGCACAACAAAAATACACATACATAAGTATATAAACCACACGTCTAAAATTGTATAGGAGAGCAATCCAAAAGCCATCTTGGATCTCCTGAAGACTCTAAATATTTCCTCTGCCTCCTAAATCCCCCTTGCCTGCGAACAGGTAGGTAGACAGCAATCCTCTCCTCTATCTATGAACCTCCTTTGTATTAATTGTCATTATTTTCCCAGATGCTCTGCATTGAGGGATGTCTGACCGGCATCCTGATCATCTTATCAAATGCTAATGTTTTGTGTAAACTGTGTCTGGAACTATGTAAAACTTGCTAAATCCTCAGGAATATCACAGCTTGGCCTGTCTGAGCCACAGTAACCTCACCTTGTGTGTGATATAATTTCTGAATGTTTGTAGAGGGGATGTGCTTCTTCTCTACGACAAAATGCAAACCTTTAAAAGTGATGTTTCTTCTTGGTTCTGGGTCTCTCTTGCCTCCTTGCAAGGAGTGGAGGGAACTCTGTTGCAACAGAAAAATAAAGATCTGTCTTGGTTTCACTTTATCCTGCCTCGATCCATCCATTCATCTCTCACTGATCATGGACTTCGGAGACTCAGTCCCTTGGGGAATTGGGCAGCAAAAGCCAACCACCCCTATTTTTTCTATATCAGTGCAGGTTTCAACAGCAGCACTCCACCCTTTTCAAAAGGAGACTCCCTTAATGTGAACAAACTTATCCTAAGGGCACTTTACGCATAAAAGATCTTAAGTGTACAATTAAAAACTGTAAAGGAGCTAATTGCATATCATGCACAAATATGTGTTAGCACTAATGTCTTTTTTAAAAAAGCAAATCTAGACATGTAGACATTCCCATTTCCAGGAAGGAGGGCTGGGTCAAACCTGGAAAAAAGTGCCCATGAAGAAGCAGACGTAAACATGATCAATAGGGAGACCTCCCAAGTTATTTAGAGCAGGAACCAAAGCCTTTCATATTATGCTGCCTAATCACTATACCTTTAAAGCACAATTGAAGCACATTCTTTCCCCCAAGAGCCCTGCACTTTACCCCTCACAGAATTATAATTCCCAGCAACCCTTAACAAACTACAGCACCCAGAATTCACGTGTGTGTTTCAGATGTGTTTTAAAAGTGCAATGAGTACACAGCAACTGCACGACTTGTTTCCACGCGTTGACATAACCAAAGCAATGTTTATGTTGCCCTTGGTGCGACTAACAAATGTTAATCAAGGTACACTGTTGGCAACAGAAAAATATGTACAAGTAGGATGCAGTTCCTAACCTCAGCACAGGCTGTGTCTCTTTCTAGTCAGCTAAACTGATTTCCTTTAATGTAAATCACTGTTGCCCTTAAATAACCTGTAAACAACTTGTAAAGATAAAATACTTTGCTGTGAAAGAAAAATTGACAGCAGATTGAATGTGACTTGAGATAAAAGGGATGGTATGGAGGAGGTGAAAAGGTAATGTAAGGCCAGACCATGGGGGGAAAGGCTTTTCCTTAGGGGAGGCAAAACCTCAGTTAGCCATTTATTTTTATTGATTTTTTGGGGAAAGCTGCCCCTCCCTCTGCCCCCTTGACTACGCCCATGGGCCAGACCCTCCTGGCTGCAATTCAAGAGGAGCAAAAAAAGGCCAAGTGGAGGCGATGCCCCACACCTCAACAGGTCTAGACAGAATATCAATGCCTGGTAATAGATTATAAGACTTGATCAGTTGCTAACAGAACAACAATGGGAAAATTAAAGCAGTTTTAAATACAAAAACTGGTACAAAATAATGGAGAATACCATCACCGGGACAGAGCAATGAGAAGGAGATTGACTCATAAGTTGACTGAGCCTGGCTTGCCCCTTGCCTGATCGTTTTGTGAGTGCGCAAAAATGATCTTTCTGATGTACAAAATGAATCAGGCAAGAACAGAACACCGCAAGAAGATCCTGCAGGAATAGGCCACTGGCCCATCTCGTCCACATCCTCTTCTCACAGTGGCCAGCCATTTGCCTGTGGGAAACTAGCAAGCGGGACCCAAGCGCACTAGCAACCTCCCCTCCTATGGCTTCCAGCAACTAGTATTGAGATGCATTACTGCCTCCAACTGCAAAGGCAGAGCATAGTCATCGTAGCTAGTAGCCATTGATAGCCTTATCCTCCATGAAGGTATAGAAAGGCCTTTTAAAATCAGCTTTGCCAGTTCTAGTAGTAGCCATCAAAGATGTTATCTTTCCCCCCATGTAGTAGATTGGCCACATCACGAAGAGCTGAAAATGTAACTTTCCACTCCCTTCCACTCCCTTGAGATAGCCAACAGCATATCATGATCAAACTATACTTGAGAAGCCTCCAGGTCAGTGCTGCAAAAGCTTAAAATGTATGGATTGTATTCAACCAACATTTACTCAGGGTAGACCCATTGAAATTGCCATAACTTTTTGTTGTTGTTTAGTCATTTAGTCGTGTCCGACTCTTCGTGACCCCATGGACCAGAGCATGCCAGGCACTCCTGTCTTCCACTGCCTCCCACAGCTCGGTCAGACTCATGTTTGTAGCTTCGAGAACACTGTCCAACCATCTCGTCCTCTGTCATCCCCTTCTTCTTGTGCCCTCCATCTTTCCCAACATCAGGGTCTTCTCTTCTCATGAGGTGGCCAAAGTATTGGAGCCTCAGCTTCACGATCTGTCCTTCCAGTGAGCACTCAGGGCTGATTTCCTTAAGAATGGATAGGTTTGATCTTCTTGCAGTCCATGGGACTCTCAAGAGTCTCCTCCAGCACCATAATTCAAAAGCATCAATTCTTCGGCGATCAGCCTTCTTTATGGTCCAGCTCTCACTTCCATACATCACTACTGGGAAAACCATGGCTTTAACTATACGGACCTTTGTTGGCAAGGTGATGTCTCTGCTTTTTTGCCATAACTAACACAGGTCAATTAATTTCAATGTGACTATGGGTAAATATAAGGTGAATATAACTCTCATCCTCTCCAATGGCAGATGTTTTGTTTTTGGTCATGTGTTGGCACACATCTGAGGAAAAGTGATTTTTTTATTTCTTCATGTCCTTGAAAGCATTTGGCTGGCCACTGTCAGAAACAGGATACTAGGCAGGTGAACCTAATCTCTAGATTAGGAATACCGGTATATTCCTGAAATTATTTATTACCCATGTTCCATTATTGCGAGCAGTGCATCAAAACAAAGTGCTTTAGATTAGAAGAACATTGACAATTATTGACTCTTAAATATTTAATGTCTTAAATCTTTAATATGAATATAATGAAATACTATAATACTTCTATGTATGGCTTCCAATGGCTTTGTTCTTTCAATTAAGCCATTTTCAAAGAACAGGCAGAATACAGATTGATTTCATATCATTTGCTGACATTTCAAAGAGGAATGAGCCTGTCATCAATGCTGATTAGTGCAAATCAGAATTTGTAGAATTTGTGGGCAAATCATTTAATCAGGATTTTCAGGAGAAAGCTAATTATGTATGTGGAATTAGGTATGTACTTTGGCATTAAAATATTCTGAGCCTATAAGCCGGTTCAGGGGGGAGGAGGATTAGCTGAGCATTCCTAAGTCTGAGAGCTGTGGGTAAAAAAATTAAAGGCCTAAGTGCATGAAAGAGTTCTGTCTTGGGTATTTTTTATTATTAAAAAAACTCACCCTTTTCTCCAAGGAGTTTAACGTGGCATACATAGTTCTTCACCTCTCCATGTTTTGCCTTAAAATTAAACCTATTGGGTAAACTAGGCTGAAAGATGGTGACTCAAAATGGTCACCTACTGAGCATCATGGCTGAATGGGTCTCCCTGGCTCTAGGCAGGGTATAAATGTAATAAACAAGCAAAATAATTGTTATCCAGCAGCCTATCAGAATGAAGCTCATATCATGAAATGGGACCTGGTTCAGTTTGTTGTTATGCCTGATAAACACTTCCCCGTGGAGACTTCTATTCAGGCTCCTACATTGTGTTGAAGATGTGATGGGGGGTGAAGAGCTGGGGATTGCAGAGCCTGCTGAGTTATCTGCCCTCGCCTCCCTGCAGGTAAATACTGGCATGGGACTGGGTTGAAGATGTGAGGTCTCTGTTTGTGGTTGCCTGTTAGGGCGAACCATATGAAGGGATGCTTGTTGGAGAGACTAGCACCAATGGGACTAAACATGTCTACTTACCTCGCCCCACAACCTGCCTGAAGCCTGCTGCTGGAGGGCACAAAGGGGCATTTGATGGAGAGAGGCTGACTATCAAAACAGTAAATGAATATTAAGAGTTGAAGGAAGAATAACAACCTTTACCTCCCTTATGGGAATGAACTGAGAGAAGAAGAGATGGTGGTGAGAGCTGGGAGGAAGGCTACCCCTAGTGAGTGTAAAGTCCAGCCTTAAACAAACGGCTAAAATGTTGTTGTTGCATTTACATCCCACCTTTTTCACCAAGGAGGTCAGGGCGGCGTACGTGGCTCTCCCTCTCATCAGTTAATCCCCACAACAACCCTTTGTGGTAGGTTAGGCTGTGAGGCAGTGACAGGCCCAAGGTCATCCAGTGAGCTTCATGGCGATTTGAACCCTGGTCTTTCCTAGGTACTAGTCTGACACTCTAACCACTATTCTGCCACATTGCCTTTCTTCTGTGGAGGGGTGGGCTGGGAGTTCAGAACAGCATGTTTACTGAATACAGTTCAGAAAATCAAAAGAGCTCTTATTCACACACTGCAGGGATATCAAGATTGGTTCTCTACCTGCGAGGAGTAAGGAGCAGGGCTGTGGCGCCAGATGCACCATACTCCAAGTGGATGCAAAATTCTTGCCCCAAAGATGCTGTTTTCTGCCTAGGCTTTGTACTGTTTTCTCTCCATCCATCTGGCAATCAGCTGCTCAAGCCTTCTTTCATATTCTTACTGCAGCACATGGTCAGAGAGATGTTAGTCCTCTAGCACCAGTGATTGGGTATGTGTTGATCTTGGGGTGTTCTTCTGGACTGAGGTCACATTCACAAGGGCCTGGCTGGATTTTGTTCCTTGTAGTTCTGAAGAGCTTAGGCATTCCGGGCTTTGACATGCATCCCTGACCCATTTTGTCTGGCAGTGTTGACATACCAAGCTTTGTGATGAAGCTAACATTGCCTGTTGCTTATCTAAGCTAAAACCTTCATTGTCACTGGCATTAATCACAGTGGATTCATATTACACTGAGGAACAAGACTGTAGAAATGTAAAGGCAGTTTATGAAGAAAGGATACAGAATTTATCCTTAGAAGGTTCATTGGATGCATTAAAAGGTCCCTTATAAAGGAAGAACATACACAAGACCATTATACAAGACCATAGGAAAACATGCATGAGTGCCAGCTTGGCCTCGTGATTGTGGGTGCCCAGGGCTGTGGGTGCCCAGCAGCATGCAGGCCCTGGCACCAAAATTTGTGGGTGCCTGGCCACTTCAGGGGAATTTTATGGGTGCTTGGGCACCCACAGCCCCAGGAAGTTGGCACCTATGAATGCATGCATCTTAACATGTACTGAGAA